GTCCTTTTTCTTTTTGAGAAAAGAGTTGTATTTATTTTTATTTTTGTGTGTGAGTGTTTCGCTTGCAAGTATATATGTGCCATTCATACCTGATGCCCTCAGAGATCATAGCAGGGCATCAGATCCTCTGCAACTGGAGTCACAGGTGGCTGTGAGCCACCATGCGGGTGCTGGACGTTAAAACTGAGTCCTCTGCAAGAGCAGCAGGTGCTCTCAATGGCTTCGCCATCTCCCCAGCCTAACTTGTTATTTTTTTTTCAAGTATTTGCTAATACTACCAGTAAAACCAGTGCTTCAGAGAATTAGCCAGCAAAGCCCTGTGAGTCTCAAATTTCCTTTGCAAGTTTAAAAGTAGTCAAGCACAGGGATGTGTGCCTGTAATCCCAGCACTTGGGGAGGCAGAGGATCTCTGAGTTTGAGGCCAGACTGGTCTAATGAGTCCAGGACATCCAAGGCTACACAGAAAAACCCTCAAAAAAAGTTTTAAAGTATGTGTTGAGTTTTATCCATAAGCATGGGGCTATTCAGTTCATCTATTTCTTCTTTAATGGATTTTTTACAATTTTCATATTTGAAAACAATTAGCTCATTTAATCTAATTAGCAAATTTATTCAAGGAACTTACTCATAATTTACATTTATTAACTTTGGGGTGGTGGGGAAATGGATTGTTCTTAAATTTGGCTTCTCCTGCCTCTATCGCCCGAGTGCTAAATTCATGTGATCTGCCACCATTCCTGGCCCACATCGTGTTTTCTAATACCCTTACTCAGTAAGAGGAATAGAGAGCTGTGGGTGTGTGTGTGTGTGTGTGTGTGGCTGATTCTATATCTGCAGGAATATATCAAAGACACACGGGAGCTCCCAGTGGCCAGGAGTCTGTGCAACAAATAAAGCAGAATCATGTTATACCAAACTACAAAATGAATGTTGAACGCGTAAGTATATGAAGGAGAGTATATAAATCTCATATAGGAAAAATAATTCTGCTATCAAGGAGGTGGGGATTTTCATACAGTACTCAAGGAAGTGTAAACAATATAGTTACTTAGAAGCTAATTTACATTATCTTGTGAATTTAACACTCGTATATCCTAGGACACAGTAATTTACATCTCTAGATATATAAGCTGTAGAAATTTTTACCAGTGTGTACAAGAATGCTTACAATAGAAGAAAAAGAAAGAGCTGTGGATGGCGGCACGCACCTTCAATCTCAGCGCGCAGGAGGCAGGAGCCTTCAGCTATCTGTGAGCTCCAGAATAGCCTGGTCTACAAAGCAAGGTCCGAGTCAGCCAGGTCTACAGAGTGAGACCCTGTAATGAGAGACCCTGTAATGAGAGGGGGGGGAGGAAGAAGGGAGAGGGAGAGAGAGAGGGAGAGAGAGAGGGAGAGAGAGAGGGAGAGAGAGAGAGAATGTGTTTCCTATACAAAGACCAAGAAAAATGGGTACGTTCACACAGAGGAATAAGACATGACAATTGATAGACTGCAGTGAGGGGTAACAACACAGATGAACCCCAAAACACTATCAACTGAAACACATAAAGCAACACAGTGACAGTAAATTTCATGGGCCTCTCACAGAACACACGACCAACTTAATTCAAGCAATACACGGTACAGGCACACACAGATTGTTAACATAGACGATAAAGAGGCCGGGGAGATGGTGCCGAAGGTAGAATGCTTGTCACGAAAGCGTGGGGACATGAGTTTGGAACTCTAGAATGTGTGCAAAGCTGGTCAAGGCAATGGCAGTCTGACTCTGTAATCCCAGCATTTCTGTGATGAGATGAGAGGCGGAGATTATTTTAATTAAAAAAATTTTAAAAAAATGATGCTGGAGAGATGGCTCAGCAGTTAAGCGTCCTTGCTGCTCTTCCAGAGGACCTGCATTCAACTGCCAGCACCCTACTAGGTGGCTCACAACCACCTGTAACTGATTCTGATTCCCAGATACACACACACACACACACACACACAAACAATAAATCTTAAAAAATGTTTAAAATCTGAAACTAAGCTCGGAGTGTAGCTTATTGGTAGAATGCTTACTTGGCCTGTACCTGAGATCAACCTGCAGCACAGGAAACAAAACAAAACAAATCCCCAAAAACCAAAACCAAAAAACCTTAAGCCATGGTCAGAGGCTATCAATTGATAACCAGGAGGCAGAATGTAGACAGTTTGGTACAAAAGTAGGTTCAAAGTTCTGTCTTAGTTAATAATACTGTTTGTTTTTAAATGTACACATATCCTTTTATTTACATAAAATATTTTTAAATACAAAATGATTCAAAAATAACAAGGCCAGGCACGGTGGCTCATGCCTTTGAGCCTGGCACTTGGGAGGCAGAAGCAGGCTAATCTCTGTGAGTTTGAGGCCAGCCTGGTCTATATAGTGAGTTTAGGGCCAGCCAGCCAGAATTACATGATCAGCCATCTGTCAGAATGCCACACACCACACTGTTCTTATTTCCCGCCGAAGATTATTCATCCTTAGATCATTCTTCCCTCAGGATTGACGTTTGGGCTGTTTTGACTCTATAGACCTCTACACCTTGATACAGTATATCTGCAAGACCACGTCTCTAGACATGGAATGACTAGGGCAAAAATGTGAGTGTCACACTTCTGAGTAGATGGTTAATTTGTTCTGCTTCCGACCATAAGCGTTTAAGGCGGTAGTGAAAGCCAGCAACAGTAATGGAACTTCTCCACAGACGATACTGGCCAACACACACAGGAGCCTGTGCTTGTCTGCTTTTGCCATGCCACGTATTTGGAACACAGGTGTGAAAATGGGCTTAGGGTGACCATTCAGGTATTGCTGCCCATGCCTGAGAGCTGGCTGTCCCTTGGCAGACCTAAAGTCACAGCAGAACTCTTACCCATCCCTGGAGGGTGAGCTCGGCTAGTCTGACTTTAAGTCCTTCTATTGTCGAGGTGGCCCTGAGGCTTCGGAGACAGGCTTACCACATAGTGCTAGCTTTGTCTGGCCAACAAGCAGAGGCAACCTGGAAAAACTTTTCTGAGTGGGTGGACGGGGTTGTGCGGGTGTGTGGGGTGTGAGCTGGACAAAAGCCAGCTGGATGGGGAAGTCCCAGACCCAGGAGACTGATTACAAATCAGGGTCTATTGATTACAAATCAGGATCTATTGCTAAGCAGGTAAAACTGTGCTGCTTTCCTCGTTATTAACAAGGTTCTGATAACACACCCAGTCCACAGGCTTTGCTTCTAAGGCCCCTATTTTTCCTTATGGAAAGGAGGCACCATTCCTTGTTTCCTCTCCAGGATTCTCTTTCAGGAGTCATGATGTAAGACAGAGTGAGGCACCAAAATTTTAAAGCCGACCAAAAAAATCCAAGATTCAAATTTCAAAATAAACGTTTTAAAGTCTTTTTTTTTTTTTAAATTATGTATGTTGTTGAGTGTGGAGGTGCACACTTTTGATCCTAGTACACAGGAGGAAGAGGCAGGCAGAGCTGTGTGAATTTCAGGCGAGGCTGGTCTACAAAGTGAGCTCTCTATCAGCTAGAGTTATATCAGAAGAAGAAGAAGAAGGAGGAGGAGGAGGAGGAGGAGGAGGAGGAAAGAGAAAGGAGAAAGGAAGGAAAGAGAGAGAGAGAGAAAGAAAGAAAGAAGAAAGAAAAGAAGAGGGGAAAATGTGTGTGTTTTCATGGAGGCCAGAGAGGATACAGAATTCCTTGGAGCTGGAGTTAGTTATAGGTAGTATGAGCTTCCTGCTGGAAAATGAAATCTGGTCTTTCTGGGAAAGAAGGGTTTTGTTAACTGTCTCTTCAAACCCAGCATAAATATTTTTTCCTTCTTGAAAATATTTCAGGTTTCATTCTCCACTCACCAGATGGGGGCTAACCCAGAATCAAGAATAAAATTATCGGTCGGAATAAAAGACCTCACAAAAGAGATGAAGAGGACACAAACCCATCAATTGCCAGGCAGGCCAGCAGTCCGTTTCTACCTGAGGAGGTCTCTAAAGCCTCTGCCCTTCCCAAACAAGAGGAAAATAAGGAGGAGGCTAGGGAGGGCATTGAATCAGCTACGGCTTTATGACAAGATTAAGAGGTGACAGAGCTATGCTGATAGAAGGATAGATATATAATAAATTCACAAGTCAACAAAGCAAACAGTAATTCTCAAGGTAAATACTTTAGTCTTGACAATTCAGAATTAATGCAAAATGTGCATAATGAACAAAACTGAAAACCTTTAAGTAAAAACACAGTCTAGCTGTGCACCTTCCCAGGGCTGTCTTCCTCATAAGGACTATGATTTCGATAAAACACGATTTACAAAAACAACTGGAGAGATGGCTCCGCGGCTAGTGCTCTGGTACCACACATGGCTGCTCACAGCAGTCCGTAGCTCCAGTTCCCCGGGGGTTGACACCCTCTTGTGGCCTCCGCAGGTATTGCACGCACCTGGTGCGCACAATAAATACACGCGCACATAAAGTGAAATAAATCCCTTTTCAAAGCCGTCTGTCTGCTCACTCCCCCAGTCCACCCAGTAAAGCGTCTGGTGATTTTTAATTTAAAACTGCATTACAATGTGCATGATATAAATGTGCAACGTTTCAACAGTAAACATTCAGCATCTGTCTGCACGTTTGCACGGTACAACGATACACGGGTGTTCGGTCTGTCTGTCTGTCTTGCCTTTGGCGCGTCCCGAGACAGCGTGACTCGGCGCAGCGCGTCCCTCCCGGGCTCGACGGAGCGGAGGACGTCTCCGGGACGGGCCCCCTTCCGTGCGCTCACACCCACCGGCGGCCGCACACACCTGGCGGGCACGCCCTCTCCCCGCCCGGGGCCACCTGGCCCGCGGCGCTGGGCGCGGGGCGCTCGGGCCTGGTCGCCGCGGGCCAGTGGGGAGGCGGCTGCGAGCGCCGGCCGCGTCCCCCCGGGCGGCCAATGGGAGCGCGGCATGCAAATGAGCAGGTGCGGTGGCGGCCGGCCCGTTGCGGCGGCCCCGGCTCCGGAGATGTTAGAGGCGCGCCGGGCGGCCGCGGAGCAGACTGCCGGGCTCCGAGCTCCGCCGTCCCGCCATGGACCCCGCTCCGCCCCCCGCCGCCTCCTTCTCGCCCGCCGAGCTCCAGCGGCGCCTGGCGGCCGGCGCCTGCTGGGTCCGCCGCGGCGCCAGCCTCTACGACCTCACCGGCTTCCTGCGGCATCACCCGGGGGGCGAGCAGCTGCTGCGGGAGCGGGCCGGCCAGGACATCGCTGCCGACCTGGACGGACCGCCCCACAGACACTCGGACAACGCCCGCCGCTGGCTGGAGCAGTACTACGTGGGCGAACTGCGAGGCGACCCGCAGGTACCCGGCGGCCCGGGGGGCCACAGTTCCCTGCCTCCCTCCCCTCCCCCAGCCCGCCGCCCCGCGGAGCCGGGCTCACCTGCCCTCTGGGAGGACGCAAGGTGACAGCGCCTCCCCTCCCGCCGCTCCCCGACTCTCTCTCCAGGTGGCAGGTCACTGGCGCGGCTCCTCTCGCCCGCCCGGAGCCTGCTCTTCCTCTCTCCACCGGTTCCCCCCCACCCCCATCCTGGCTGCATCCTCCTTCCAACAAGCCCCTCCTGCAGCCCCCGCCTCCTGCTACCCCTTTTCTCTTTTCCTTATCAGCCTTCCCGGTCTCCTTGCTCGGCTCAATAATCCGTTGCCGGGCTCACCTGGCCTCAGCTCCTCAGCCCACCGATCTCTCGGTTCAAAGCAGGCACAATTGTGCCAAAGCTCTGCGAGGCCAGCCCCCAGGGCTCCGGTGGGTGGGCGGGTGGGTGGAGGACCTGACAGCCCTCTGTGGATTATTTCCTCCGGCTCCTGGTTTGATTTCCATCCTAAACGGGGCTGTGGGTGTGAAAGAGTGAAAAAAAAATGCACGAGCCAGCCGGCGTGTGCTCAGAATTGTTCGAAGGCGAAGAGGTCGCCCGATCCTTGTAACCCAGACCATGCTCAGCTGGGTACTGCTGTGTGGTGCGGTCTTGGATTTTTAACCTTCAACCCACCCCGGGTTTTGTTATCCTCAACTTAGGATGCGAAAACAGAGGTTCAGCAGGGTTCTGTAAATCTCTGAGGTCAAACAACTGGGTAGTCGTCTCCGTCGCGAGGATCCAAGGGCTGGGGACACAGCCCTTCTCTGCGGAGCGCCTGGTAGACTCAGGTTGGAACTCCTTGTTCCCAAACCTGGCAGTGGGGGCCCTCGTGATTAGATGGGAAGCAACGGTTGTTCCGTGTTGCTCGCTTGCTTTCAAGTGCTTTTAGATCTTTGGATGAAGGGACATGCCAATCACTGTTCCGGGAGACCCCTCCTGGGCATCCTGCCTAATCTTTATCTTTTATTCAGCCACTTACTTGGTTCTTAAATGGGCTGACGGCACTGTGCTAGGCACCAGCAGACATTAAACGAAACACGGTTCCCATTTTCACGGATCGGACAAAGCTCACAGGGAGGGGAGAGATCATGCTACCGACATGGTAATTGTCTAATTACATTTTGGTAATATTTAGAATATTTGCATGTTGAATCTGGATGAAGGTTTTGGAGAACGGGTTTCAGTAAGAGCTACCTTGAGAAAAGTGACATTTCCACCAAGAGCTAACTGAAAGACAGCTTTAGCCAGAGGAGTGCTGGGAACAGCATTCTGGACAGAGGGGCGGCGTATATGAAAGAGAGAGAGAGAGAGAGAGAGAGAGAGAGAGAGAGAGAGAGCCTTAGAACCAAGGTGGCCCAGGGCTGGTGGACAAAGGGAAGAGGCAGGAGCCAGGTCCCCAGGGCTTGAGCATGTGGGCCTCATACCTGTGGTCGCTGGCTTGACTTGTGGAGTCATGGAAGGCTAGGGGACTTAAGCAGGGGAGTGGCGTGGAAAGATTTGCATCTCTGGAAGAGTGGTCTTGCTCCAGAGATGAGGAGTGGCAGGAACTCCCCTGGATGTAAGGAGACCACTGGAAAGGCAGCTGTGTAGCTCAACCTCCGTGAAGAGAAGGGAAAGGAGATTTCATAATAGAAGGATTTGAAAGATCTCTCGAAGTGTCCGGACATCCCCAGTATGATACAGGAAGCTGGTGTCCAGTGTCAGGCCTTGCTGAGGGGACAGAAAGCTTAGCTGCAAATACAAGAAAAGTTGAGTCCAGGAATCGGCAAGTGGTTGGGATCAGAACGCTGGAGACTGCCAGGCCTGTGGCCCTGGATTGTAACTGTGTCCTGCAGAAGGAAGCCTGAGGGTGTGGCCACTCTACTCAGCACCTGAATGTCACTCTCTCCCCTGCTCTGGATGGCCCCACCTCCCTGCTTTGCCAACCACCCAGCCTTAGGGTTTGGTTTTGCTTTACCTTGCCCTGCCTGACCCCTAGGGAGAGCTCAGAGGCAAAACCCAGTTCACCTTTGCTTTCTCCCCCTGCCCTTACTTGTTATCCTAAGAGGCACAGTGTGGTCATGCTGCAAAGATCCAGATTTCCTGGCCCCAGCCTGAGGGTGTGGAAAGCACTAGAATCTAACAGCCCACCTTCAAGCCCACAGACCAGATCTGACCAGCACACACCGCCACCCTACATTCCTGTCACTCTGTTGACAGAGTTCAAATGTAGAAACCAGCACAAAGTGCTCTTTATTTTAGCTTATGTTTTCTTGTTTTGTTTTGTTTTATGAGATGTCTTGCTAGGTAGGTCAGGCTGGCTTCAGACTGGAGGAGAGATTGGGTGGGTGGGAGTGTCCATTCAAAGAGATGGCTAGATAAGTAAGTCCTTTTAGCAACTCCCGCACTGCCTCCTCTGCCTCCTGCTCTCCTGCTGCAGCAGGGTGCCAAGGCCTCTGGAGGGAAGAAGGCCTCTCCTGTTGTGTGAGGAGCAGGAAGCAAATGCTATGAACTATTTATGTTGCCCCCCCAGGACCCCTCTCCAGCCTTGTCGGTAAGTTTGAGCACTTGGTATCTTCTTCCATGGAGAAGGCACACCCCACTTTCCCCCTGTTCCCCACTTTGCTGCACCCCTCACTGTGTACACACTTACACACACATTCACACTCACACAGAGGCACAGAACAAGTCAGACTTGTTTGAGCTGCATACTGTGGGTAGGGGAGATGAGTGGCTCTCCTTGAACAAGCAGAAGAGTCTAAAGTTTGGGGAGGCTGTGTCACTATCCCTGGCTGCCAGAGGCTAGTGGGAGCAATCCCCTTAGCCGAAGCTCGGACAGCAGTGTTCTCCCCCTGAGGCCACGAAGCCCTGTTGTGACCGTCACCTCAGAAAGAGAGAAAGGAAGAAGCAGGGTTAGTGAGCTGGCTCCTCGGGTAGGGACGCCCGCTAGCAAGTGCCATGACCTGAGGTCCATCCCCGGAATCCACACCTTGGAAGCAGAGAGTGGACCCCTTCCGGCCGTCCTCTGACACACCCCCGTGGTCTCTACACGTAGACATGCACATAATAAAATAAGTAAATAAATAATTTAAAGAGGGGAAAAGGCAAGGACTGGATTTGTGTCTAAACCTCCTTCCAAGGCCATAGATGTTTATGTTCCCTAGACTTTGGTCATCATGAGTCACAAACTGACACACCACTTAAGTTATATCTGATATTCATCTCTGTGTAGACTCACCCTTTATTTTAGCGTTTACTGACCCTACGTGATGATACCAGTGGAATCACGGCTCTTTGTGTTTGTTTGGTACCAGGTCTCTCTGTGAAGTCCTGGCTGTCCCGGAACTCACTGCTGTAGAGCAGCCAGTCTCACATTCACAGAGATCAGCTGGCCTCTGCCGCCCAGGTTCTTGGATTAAAGGTGTACTCTACCACCCAAGACTTATATATACTTTAAAATAAATATGTATGTTTTTGAGGGGGCAGGGGAGAGACACGTATCATGTGGCCCAGACTGGCCTCAAGTTCATTATTTAGCAGAGAATGACCTTGAACCCCTGATCTTCCTGTCTCCACCACCAAAGTGCTGAAATTATAGGCATATGCCACCATGCCCAGTTTAGGTGAGGCTGGGGCCACACTGGGGCCCTGTGCATGCTAGGCAAGCACCCCACTAACTGAACTACATTCCAAGTCCCATAATTAAAAGGAGAAAAATGGTCTCTTGTATCTCCTCAAACCATCATGGGCACAACTTGGACCATACTACAGGAAACACTGAAGCAAGACTTGTTTTTTTTTTTTTTAATTTTTTATTAATTACACTTTATTCACTTTGTATCCCCCCTGTAGCTCTCTCCCTCCTCCCCTCCCAACCCCTCTCTTCCTCCCCCTTCTCCATGCATGCCCCTCCCCAAGTCCACTGGCAGGGGAAGTCTTCTTTTCCTTCCTTCTGATCCTGGTCTATTAGGTCTCATCAGGAGTGGCTGCATTGTCTTCCTCTGTGAACTGATTGGCCTCTCCTTGATCACCTCCCCCTGAGGGGGAAGCAAGACTTCTTAAACCTAGGGTTCTGTGGGCCATCTTCTGGAACTAGTGAAAGAGATGAAATTGTGTATGGAAAAATATATGAGTATATGTTATTCCTAGCTATAGCTTTCATCACAGCCCAAACTAGGCTCTCTGTCAACCCCAAATCTGCCACCAAGGAAATAATAACTGTCAGAAAGAGGGACCTGTGTTTTTTCCACATTGTATCACAGACCTGGAGGATTCTTGTGTGTGGAGTCGGGGGAAGGGGGAAAGATGGTGCCGGTGAGATAAGAGCCATCTACCTGAGTGTACGCCAGGCAGGGTAAAACTCAGCTCTTCAGACTGTAGCACTGAGGTAGCATATGTCTGAAGGACTTGGGGCCATGTCCTAGTCACATAGGATGTATCTCTGAGTGGTTAAGAAGTCCACAGCTCCTGCCACCCAAGGTTCTGTTTGGCTCTGTAATGTACGTTCCGAGCTTCAAGGCTTGAGTGATTAAATGGGAAGGGAATCTCAATGCAGGAAGCTGTATGGTCCCACCCTTCTGTAAAGCCTTGGAATAGCTCCAGCACAGCTGTATTGGAGGCTTCAACTGAAAGCTTGGGGAGCTGGTAGCCTGCCTCTTCTTCCACTGTGGAGGGGAGATGGGAAGTCGGCTCCCTGGACTGCACTGTCCAGAGCTTCCCAGGAGGGCCTGCCTGGCCCATTGAAGGTCACCATCCTTTCCTAACCGCTCTGGCCGGCTGTAATGCCAGTAAGTCTTAATGGAGGATGAAACCAGGGCCAGCTAGTAGCACATCTGGACACCTGGCCACTGGTTGTATGCACAGATCCCAAGAGTGTTCCTGGTGTCACTTCAGATGAGATTTAAGACCAATCATTGAGGAAGAAGATCAGAAATAGGACCCTTGGGAGTCCCAGAAGCACATGAGAGTTAT